CCAAAACAGGACCACAACACAAATGAACTCAATTCCAGAATTTGTGTTTGGAATGCCCACTCCTTCAGGAACAAGTCACTTTCCACATGTGACTACATTGTAGAACATGGCATAGACATCATTGCAATCACTGAGAGTTGGCTGTACGAAGATGATCCCGTTGTCATAGGTGAGTGCACTCATTCTCAAATTTGTATCCTTGTGGAGACATTTCTTTGTTCTCGTGTAGTAAAGTGTTCAATTTTGAAAGTGAAGTTTGAAAATGCTCTTATTTTAACCAGAATTAGTTTCCTTGGCTGAAATTTGGACTTGATATCCCTTTTCTAAAACTCTTCCATTTGCGACCGATCAACCCACCTTGGAAATTCCTAGTTTTTGAGTAAAACCCATATATCTATTTCGTGAAAACCTTGTGGAGCCCTATTCATCTATAGAAATTGCCCTGTGGAGACCCTACAATGTTTTATTCCCTATTGTGTGTGTGTCTCCACAAGGATACGAATTTGTAGTCACTCCTCCTGGATACACTTTCCTCAGTGCAGCGAAGGAGTGGAATAGTCTGCCCTTTTCCATTCAAAATGCCAAATCTCTCGAGCAATTCAAGAAGCTGATCAAAACAAATTTATTCCACCAATAATCAATTCCTTGTCTATGCTACTAGCCTTGGTCAATGCTCTCGTCGTTATTCGTCCCGTACGCGGTCAATCGTCGGCATATATCCTCACGCGCTGAGTGCACATGCATGTAAAAATACAGCGCGAACAGCGAACTCATGCGGCCACTATTTTTATGCAAATCAGTTGGAGACGATGTCGGCATCGATTTGTGTTAGTAACACGTCTATTCGTATTTTTGTTCTCTTGCTTTGTTGTCAGGTTCACTGTTTGATGTCACTGGGAGCTATTTCGCCAGTCTTCTCGTCATCGCCGCCATCTTTGTTTGCGCTTCGGCGGCATTTCTGTGCATTCCAGTGCGGAGAAAGATTCGGTCAGGTGGTTCATGTTGCTCATCGGCATCACGTGATCAGCAACATGAGTTACAATATCCTGAGGGTCAATGCAATCAGGTGACAATGTAAGCTGAACATTAGTGTGTCAGAAAACTAAATTCAAAGGCAAGGAAGCGAAGCCACTGCACAGGATTTGTTTTCCCAAAATATTTTATTCAATCTTTCACAATTATTAGTCGTCATATAAGTAGCTCTGCTTATTTAATTTCACGTTGAGATGGATATAAATAAAACCTGTTTGCATTCCATGTCAATTTCATGAACAGCGCCCCCTAGAATATCGTGATGCCTGCCCCCCCCCCCTCCCATTTCCACGGCGGGCAATTTCATGATTTTGCGATCTGGTCATCCCCCATTTCCACTGCTCGTCGACACGGATTTACGCCACTGATTTTGGGCACACATCCATTATTTTAGTTTGTCTCGATCGTTTTATCGCCATGAATATTCGTGAATAGAATGGACGGTACAGTGCATCACCACGTGATGCACTCTCGTCTAATCAGGAGACAAAATTATGGGAGCGGGGATACATTTCATAATTTGGGGTAGGAAAAAAAGGAATAACAAAGATACCATGCCATCAATTCAAACTCTGGTCACTTTTTTTTCTGTGTTATGTTGGCCAAACCAGTCGAAGCAGTAACTTGAAGTACTTTACTTATATATATTATAAAATACCTCATTCAATGAATGAACATATATGTGCCGCCTTTAAAGCGCTGGTTGGCATGATAATTGTACATGTACATGTATCGGCTACACTAAAAGTCACGACAAAGCATATTCACTTTCTCTACTTATTGACAACACGAAAAATAAAACAGATGCATGTTCAGCTCAGAAAAAAGTCTTGATCGTTTCTCTGATCTGACGGCGGTGCTAATTACGCATATTATACTCAGACACGGAAACTTAAGTCTGGCCACTTGTTTTGGGCTTTATATTTATCAGATCCTTCTTCAAAATACAATAAGACGTGACCTGCCTATGCTGATTGATGTTGCGGGGAATCGAGCTATCCATCCATTTATAAGAATGTCAATCTGCTGTAATATTCCGAGAGTCACTCGTTCACCGCACACAATAGTTACGCCGCCATGTTTGCTTGCGTTATGCCTTGCTTTGATGTTCAAGATGGCGTACCCTTGATAAAGGTCTTTTGACTGATACATTTACCAGAATTAGTTTCCTTGGCTGAAATTTGGACTTGATATCCCTTTTCTAAAACTCTTCCATTTGCGACCGATCAACCCACCTTGGAAATTCCTAGTTTTTGAGTAAAACCCATATATCTATTTCGTGAAAACCTTGTGGAGCCCTATTCATCTATAGAAATTGCCCTGTGGAGACCCTACAATGTTTTATTCCCTATTGTGTGTGTGTCTCCACAAGGATACGAATTTGTAGTCACTCCTCCTGGATACACTTTCCTCAGTGCAGCGAAGGAGTGGAATAGTCTGCCCTTTTCCATTCAAAATGCCAAATCTCTCGAGCAATTCAAGAAGCTGATCAAAACAAATTTATTCCACCAATAATCAATTCCTTGTCTATGCTACTAGCCTTGGTCAATGCTCTCGTCGTTATTCGTCCCGTACGCGGTCAATCGTCGGCATATATCCTCACGCGCTGAGTGCACATGCATGTAAAAATACAGCGCGAACAGCGAACTCATGCGGCCACTATTTTTATGCAAATCAGTTGGAGACGATGTCGGCATCGTCTCCAACTGATTTGCATAAAAATAGTGGCCGCGTGAGGTCGCTGTTCGCGCTGTATTTTTACATGCATAACGCATGTGCATAGCGCGTGAGGATATATGCCGACGATTGACCGCGTACGGGACGAATAACGACGAGAGCATTGACCAAGGCTACTATGCTACCTGTTTTTATTATTTAACCTAAATTATTTATTTACTTTAATTGTTCATTATTTGTAAGCGCTGTGATTTAGTTTACTAAAAAGAGCGTTCTTAAATGCCGATTATTATAGGTTGTCACGGCCAATTTCACCAAGTTTTCATTCAATTTACCGCCTTGCTCATTCGATTTAGATTGAAATTGAAAGATCACGCAGATCGGCATTCGACAATCAAAAAGAATCATTCTATTTCACTATCCGAGCATTCTATCGCCTTTTATCTTCACTCGTCTCTATTAAAGATGCATTCATATTAAAAGTATCGCGTTGTTCATTCAATTTCGTCATAACCAGCAGTAAGGGTTGATCGGGCATTCATGTTCATTAATGGGCACACATATTTCACATTTTGTCAAACATCTTTTAAGACTTCATACGTGTCCGTATTCCTTAGCGTAAATCATATTTGATGTCTTCAATCCGTAGATGCCTTTTTTCTTAATTAAAGGGTATGTGCAATGAATTGTTCTCAGGTATTCTTTTTGTGCAACTTTTATGTAAAAAAAATACACATTTGACAACATTTTTTCGTAAATCTTATTGCAAAAGTGGACTTCTTTAAACATTTCAAAGTTTCCATGCTTTTTCGGACTACCTATGAGCGCGCTGTCACTGTGATGTCATTTCAGGGAGACACTGTTCAGTTTAGGGGTTTTTCTTTCAAATTATTCATCCAAAACTTGCTAATTGAAAACATTCGTGTGAAAGCATGCATTAGCATAAAAATGGAGAGGGCAAAAAAACACCACCCTTCAAAATGGAAAATAAAACTTGCGATTAAGGTTCAATGTTCCACAAAGATGTATTTTCAAGGTTTGCGTTGAAAACTATTTTTGCATGGGCCCTTTGAATACGGTAAGTGTTCGGTCAGACATACGCAAGAAAACATAAATAACGCAAGAGAAGTGTTCCCGATGGTTGCCAAAACACGTGTACCGATGTCTTGCACGTCAAAAAAGTGCCAACGTAAAGATACCCCTTGATCAAACGTTTAAACAAGTAGACAAGATCAACAGTGAAAAATAAATTATCTTAGTCACTTTCAATTAATTATTTTGTTACATCTTGTTTCCCTCATATCAGTTAATTTAATTTGTAACATTGTAAATTTTACAGTCATCAAGATTTTTTTTGGGGGGGGGATTAACCTTGGAGGAAAATAAGAAAACATATCGATTAAAACATCTTAGTAATTTGAATGACCATACGATGAAAGCGATTGCCCATAAACGAATAAGAAACGAAAAGCACGGTTATACGTTATAAGCGCACAGATGTTCGCTTATTTGAATGTGTCAACCGTCAAAAGGTTGCAAAGACTTAATTTAAGACTGCTACAAATTAAGTGTTGAATGCACCAAAGCGAAATAGCATGCCAAAAAACGAACACGAACATTCAGAGCAAAATCTTGGCTGCCTAAAAATGAAATTGAATGAACCCAAAATGAAAAAGAAACCCCAATTTGACCATATGTGCAAAACTCACGTGAAATTGAATGGCTGATAATGAAACTGATTAGAAAAATTCGGAAATTCGCCGGGAAAACCTATATTATTATTATTATTAGACACACCGTATACCTTCTAGCAACTAACACATAATAATTCTTCATTTTTTATAACGAGCATATTTCTTTCTTAAATTCGTACATAAAATTTCTCTTATTCGTTGTCATATTCTAAATTTATTTTAAGTCCTTCAAGTACACAGGAAAAAGCAACCTTGCTGTACGACTGTCCAGATTTCCCTGGAGATTTGCCTTTCTTTTTTAAAGTGTACTCCAAGGGTTTGTTTTCACTCTATAAAAGTCTTACCAATCAGCTAATTATCTATACGTACACCTTGACTAACGATTTTACCAGTATGCATTTTAAGAGCATCAGAAATATAGATCACAAATTTTAAGAAAAAAAAGCTAATAATATTCATCAAATTTTATCCAAACTACCAAATAATTTTGAGTAGAGCCGGTATTTACAAGCATGAATATTTTCGTTTTGTTCTACGACAGAGCTACCTTTTGACGTTGAAATCTTGACTCACTCGTCGGCAATGTAATATGTCTGACTAATAGCAGCCAATCACTTCAAACCTCATGCTGCAATGGTGGTTCCATGCAGTGGGGTGAATGCGCAGGATTCTGGTGCGCAAGGCAAACGGTAGGTGAGTAGTTACCGGGGTGTTCCTGTCCTTGTTACCAGGGAACTGTTCAAAAAAGAAGAATGGTGTGTTCAGGTTGTTGACATTCGAATGGATTCATTATGTCCAGTGGCATATCCAGGGCAGGGGCACCGTGCCCCCCCCCCCCCAGGATTTTTGAAAAAAAAATTGCTCAGTAAGTATTTCCATAAATGTTTAGAGAGTTCTGACATCAACCCCAAAAAAGAAAACCAGCTTTAAAAAAAGGCATTACAAGGCGCTGTGAAAATCGGCACATCTTTTCCAGTATGCATAATAAAGGTTTTGAAGAGCGCCCTCATTTGGAAGATGGTCCTCCCCCACCACTTTTTGATTTTACGGAGGCCAAGTGTGGGAAGAAAAAAAACATGTCTATATTTCGCCGTGGATGTGCGGTTCCCCCCTCCCCCCACACACACCCACACCCACATCATGAGCTGGATACGCTACTGATTATGTCGTAACATAGTCAGCAAACGACTTTTGACATTTTGATACCTTTAAACATTTCTATTAGTCATAAAGCTTAGACCCAATTTTTGACAAGATCGTGAACGACTGGTTCAAACCACCAAATTTGGCAGATAGATTGTTATAGCCCTAGAGTAAATATTAAGAAGGGAAGGGTGCCTAATTTGCATAAATTGTTAATCCCTACAGTGTAATATATTTTTCCCACTTTTAATTTTTTGAAAAGTATTTTTTTTTTAATTTTTTGAAAAGTATATTTTGGGGATTTCACTTACACATCCTTACGTCAATAACATTTGCTAAAGCATTTAAGACTGACTGGATAATAATATGAGGACATTGTAACGATCCTAAATGGCTACTATAGGTTTTCCCGGCGAATTTCCGAATTTTTCCAATCAGTTTCATTATCAGCCATTCAATTTCACGTGAGTTTTGCACATGTGGTCAAATTGGGGTTTCTTTTTCGTTTTGGGTTCGTTCAATTTCATTTTTAGGCAGCCAAGATTTTGCTTTGAATGTTCGTTTTCATTTTCGGGCATCCTTTTTCGTTTTGGTGCATTCAAGACTTAACTTGTAGCAGTCTCAAATTAAGTCTTTGCAACCTTTTGACGATTGACGCATTCAAATTAGCGAACATCTGTGCGCTTGTAAAGTATAACCATGCTTTTCGTTTCTTATTCGTTTATGGGCAATCCTTTTCATCGTTTGGTCATTTAAGTTAGTAAAAAAAATTAATCGATACATTTTCTATTTTTCTCCGAGGTTCATTTCCCTCCAAAACTTGATAACTGTAAAACTTACAATGTTACAAATTAACTGATAGGCCCTATAAGGGAAACAATATGTTATTACGAATTAATTAACTGAAGGGACTAAGATAATTTGTTTTTGACTGTTTATCTTTTCTACTTGTTTAAACGTTGACAATTTCTTGACGTGCAAGACATCGGAACACCTAAGTTTGGCAATGGATGTACCATCGGGAACATTTCTCTTGAGTTATTTCTTAAATGATTTCTTGCGCATGTCTAATCGAACACTTACTGTATTCAAGGGCCCATGCAAAGTTAGTTTGCCATGCAAACCTTGAATATACATCTTTGTGTCAAATTCAACCATATTTGCAAGTTTCATTTTTTTATTTTTGAAGGATGTTTTTGGTGCCTTCATGGCAGTGAGCCAGTGAGCAACCCTTTCCCACAAATGTTTTCAATTAGCAAATTTAGGATAAATAATTTGAAAGAAAACCCCCAAAACTGAACAGTGTCTTCCTGAAATGACATGACAGTAACAGGGCGCTCATACGTAGTCCGGAAAAGCATGGACACTTTTAAATGTTCAACCTTAAAAGGGCCTGTTTATTTTGACCATTCCGCCCCGGTCCCTTAAGGGTAATTGAAGTGCACTTTTGCAATAAGATTAACTCAAAAATGTTGTCAAATGTGTAGTTTTCTTACATTTCACAGTAGTAAAGAGTTCCACAAAAAGAATTCCTGAGAAAAATTCATGATACCCTAAGGAATACGGACACGTATGAAGTCTTAAAAGATGGTTGACAAAATGTGAAATATGTTTGCCCATTAATGAAAACGAATGCCCGATCAACCCTTTACTGCTGGTTTAGACGAAATTGAATGAACAACGCGATACTTTTAATATGAATGCATCTTTGATAGGGACGAGTGAAGCTAAAAGGCGATAGATTGCTCGGATAGTGAAATTGAATGATTCTTTTTGATTGTCGAATGCCGATCTGCGTGTTCTTTCAATTTCAATCTAAATCGAATGAGCCAGGCGTTAAATTGAATGAAAACTTGGTGAAATTGGCCGGGAAAACCTATATTATAGTCTAAAGTTGCACTCATTAACGCTTTAATATGCACATTAGGCACTCTTCCCAAAAGAATTTCAGGTGGGCACCCCTTCTAAATATCTTCTTTAGCGCTATAATAATCTATCTGCCAAGTTTGGTGCTTTGCACCAGTCGGTCACGATTCCAACCGTATGCAACCTGACTATATACCTTTATTGGTGTGCCGTCTGCATCAGTCACGTTATTCCAGGACTGACCATCTTCGCTGTACGTCACTTGGTACTCCTCCACCCTTTGGCGGGGGCTATCTCCGCGCCCCTGGGTGATCAGGCCAGTGATGGTGACTATGCCATTGAAGTCAACCTGTATCCACGGACTGATGTCATCAGTAGTTTTATCATTACACCATGCTGCAGGGCGTCCTGTACAACAAAAAAAAACATTTCTTACTGCATCTAACGATTTAGCCATATTGCAGGAATCTGGCTCAAATTTGGACTTCGAGGTATGTTGAATAATCTTTGCCAATAATCTTTGTCTGACCCAACGCTAGACGACTAAGTTCACTAGCGTATCGTCCACGGGCGTCGCTAGACCATTTTGAAAAGGGGGGGGGGTGTCATCATGACGGACCGTCACACAAAATAATTGATAATTTCCGCCCCAAAAGATCCCTTAATTAAATCCATTTCTAATTCCCCACATCATGTATTATAATGGTTTATTATGTTGATTGCTCTGAATGGAATAAATTTTCAGTTATGTTAAAAGAGTTCCTCTGACATCAATCCCACTAAGGGCAAAAAAACAAGTCTCCGGTTTGTGGTATGCGCGCGCGTCGCCGTAGCCATGCGCGTCGGCAAAATGAAAACGTTTTTTTTCAATAAAGGATGATGTCTCAAAACCGCCAAACTCACTGGTTTGACAGGAATCCTGCTGCTGCACAATTTTAACGTGTTTTTAGATGGGGTTATGATCGAGAATAAACTTTATGTGGCCTCTCTGGTTTCCCATAAATATCGCCGCACCACTTTTTGGGCAAGTTCCATACCAGAAACCGGAGACTTTTTCTTGGCCCTTTCAACAACCATTAAAATGAGCCGTGAAAACCTTCATTTGATATGTAGTATGCATAATAATGGTCAGTTTTGAAGAGTGCCCCCATTTGGAAGATGGATACCAGACCCAACACCCCCCCCCCCTCCCCCCGCTTTTTGATTTTACGGAGGGCAAGTGTCCGAAAAAAACAACATGTCTACATTTCGGCGCTAATGTGCAGTTGCCCCCCCCCCCCGAAATCAAAAGCTGGATACGCTGCTGGCGTGTACACGCCCACGTAGGCATACCTTGTGCGGGCCCGTTCCCTGATCCCAGCGGGGGGGGGGGGGGTTCTTTAAAGCTTTAGTCCGTCATTTGCAGCTATCCAAAAAGTGACTGACCTAATTATTGTTGAAAAACATTCTTGGTTGAAAGATAGCAAGGGGACTAAACTCCCTGTGAAATTATTCTTTCTGGCAAGCTGTCATTTTGAAAAAATCAACGAAGGAATGGCTTTCCAACGGTGCGTTTTAAGAAGCACCGTTAGAAATTTCCGTAGTAGTTCGTTTTTATATTCAGCGAGGCGCGCGCAAGCGTTGACACGATGTACACGCACACGCCGTTGCTATAATTCGTCGGATCAGTGCGCGACTTCGCGTAGCTGCAATCGGCTCAGTGAAAACGTGTCTCGCCGGATGCTGAATTCAGGCCAATTCAAAACATGATTCAGCAACTTTTGATTTGAAATCGAGATCCTAGAATGCTGTTTTTCTCGAAATATACAGCTGAGCTGAAACTTCATCACCCTTCTTTAGATTTTGAGCACTTTTGTGGCTTCAAACAAACAAAATGCACAAATTACAAATGATGGAATATACCTTAAATCCTAAAGTGAATTTCTGTTATATGCGAGCGGAGAGCGCGAAGCCCTGAAGGCGTGGGGTCCGGGGCCCACCTGTACCTACAAGTTCTGGATTGGGTGCTCTGTGGTGCAATCTGAAGCATTTCCTAGCCACTTTCCCCTGACTTTTTTATGTGTGCGTGGGGTCCGGGGCCAGCCTAAAAGGTCTGGATTTTATGCTTTGTGGTGCAATCTGAAGCATTTCCTGGCCACTTTCCGCTGACTTTTTTAATGTACTGGCTCGTGTTTAGGGAGATGGGGGTGGGGGTCATCAAAGTTGATGTATTACATCACAAACATTTCATCAAACTGAAGCTCGACACTCTTTCGAGTTTTGCCTTCTTTAGCTTTAGCTTGATCCATGGTTTTGAGTCGTCACTTAGCCGTAGCTGTCAACCGCCATATATGAAGCGAGCTCGCGCGGCAACTCGTGCCGACATGACAGTCTTGACACAATGTACAATTTGTTTTTGCCAAGGAATTCAGAACCGGATGTTAGCTTCGCAGGGTTTTGAGCGACGGTGTCTATTATTTACACTCTCAATATTTTCTTCTTCTCTCTTTCTTTTACTTCTTTCTCTATTCTTCACTTTTTTTGCCGACAGCACTATGATTTCACCGACAAAAATGTCTAATGGGGGTTGTGAACCCCCCCCCCCCCCCCTGCAGCGACGCCCATGGTATCGTCGGCTCTTCAGGACCGCTTTGGTGGTTGGTCGCACTGCTGGTTACGCGTACGATAGCTGCACGCATCACAATGCGCAGCAGGGAGCCGTGACCCATATAGTTTCCTAATGACGTTTTGCCCATATCGTCCGACTATTGACGTCCGCACGTTATTTGTAGTGCACAGTCGTAATGGATTAGGTTGCTACGAATCAACCACAAATCGAGCAGTAAATTGTGCAACTGAAGGGACATTGCGAATGCGCCCAATTGGGCTACAAAACGCATTTTAATGAAATTATATTAAATGGAAAGAATATTTAATAGTAGGACATAAACGTCTACCCAACCATCATTTAAAACTGGTTGTTTTTGTGTGATTCTTGCGTGAACCATGCGACAACTAATTTTGGGTGTCAAAATAGTGAGTCTCAAAAATAGAGCTGTTGAGTGCTAGTTGTGAATCTGGCATGACACAGTGTATTGTATAATGCGGACGTGCGAGAAACAACATTTGTGTTGGTACTTTGTGTATTGTGACACACACGACGTGAACTGTACATTGAATGGAAACGGCGGGAAATACGTATTTGTATGCCACAAAAGTCCACCGCGTTCGATGTAAACAACTGTTCATCCGTCTTTTCTCAGGAACGGTAAGACATTGGGTTAGTTTCCTTTCAACCAGACATCTGAAATAGTAAAAAGAAACTACCCTTATCATAATAATTTCGTGAATTTCAGGCCGCATAATATCCCTTTAACCAAAAGGCCAGGTTATTTGGACCATCCCTCAGCCCCCTAAGATGTCGGCCATCGAGTGACGAAAAATTTTGAAACTCAGTACATGCACTTACCATGAACACACCCAAGAAATTTCATGACTATAAGTCAAATGATTTTGGAATTATGGCTAATTAATTATTCATATTCACGAATGCTCTGTGTACACTACGTTTATGGGGAAATTCAGTTTGCGTCGGAATTTTTTTCAAAATGTTTTTGGTATCAAAAGATGGGCAAGGCTCGTAGCTAAAAAGTCAGACGAACCGCTCGGGTCGCGACATTCTTTTTTCAAGGCTATCGCGGAAAAAGTTGAGGGGGGGGGGGATTTCGCCCGGCCCCTTTAGGGTTAAACAACTGTATTGTCTTTTAAATGGCTGTACGAAGTATAACGTGGTTAGTCTGAAATACAAATGCTTACGTTGAGTATTAAGCCTGGCCTTGGGTGGGGCATAATCAGCGTCGTTTTGCCAAAAAGACGAAGCTGTGATGCGTTCATCCTTGATGCGACCATCTTCCATCCCGAGAGGTTCCTCCACAGAGCAAGAAACGTCATCTGAGGAAAAATGTGCGATTGTTTCGAGAACAGGTTTTGTACCGATCCCATTTCAATAAAAAAGAAAAAGAAACTAGTAATGGGTCTTTTTCCGCAACCCAGAGTGCTTCCAATGTCAATTAAAATTATGAAAGGGAGCCCTCTATCTTGCCCGCCGTTACAGGGACGCATTTGAGTCCCCCCATTTGCATGTCGCTGCCGCGCTATTATCGATCGGTACTACTGATGGCGGGTGCATTCATGATCACAAAACAAGTTGAATGAAGTAGCACACGATTAACTTCAAAATTATGTATTTTAGTCTATACTATTTTCTTTAGTTTGATCTCTCATATAATTTTTGTGTTGTGATTGTTTTACTTCAAGAAGCTATGTCGATAAATAAAGAAAAACATCCCGGACATGTCAAAAATACTATTTTATGCACGAAATTTGGATAGTCAAGACAAAAGTCAGAGAAAACGGTAACGTCGGACCACACACTACAGCGATATCGACATCGTGCATGAGCTGCCACGCTGGTCATTAGTCTGCTTGCGCTAATTAAAAAGCGTTTACATGTTCCAGATACATGACCATCACTCTCTCAGTCTGGCTGCCAGACACACAATTACAAAATTACAACAACGTCTGCATATGGTGCCCGACTAAATTAAGTACAAAATGTAAGGGAGCCCAGAGAGGCCACACAAAGCTTATACTTGATTGTAACCTCATGCCTGCCTCGTCTCCTTCCTAAATGTCAATTCGTTTACATGAGTCGAGAAGACTTCTGTTCCATTAATCGCTATACGCTGTTCGGCCATCACAATAAACGATTAAAATATTGGCAATATGTCGTACTTGTAAATCACTAAAATATCCAAGTAAATCGCCCGGCAAAGTAGCCGATGCGGGCGATACGCTGGCACGGTACAAAACACAGAGAGGCGTGCGCACTGAGCCATGAATCCTAAAAGTACATCTCGCCCACCACATTCAGTTTGTGACAGCGCCCTTCTATTGTGTCGGCCATATTCTCAAATAGGCTAATGACGATGATGACGGCGGGCAGATTAACAGAAGATAGATCAGGCAAATATGGTTCATCAATCTTCTATAGTATATGTAAAGGTATTGACATTAAACAAAAATACAGTGGCATTACATTTCAGCCTTAACCAGGCCTTCTTCAGAGGTAAATGACAGAGGAACAAGAAATAAACATGTAGGGGACACACAAACATGCAGGGTTGGAAGGAGAATCACAAAGAGGGATTGGGGGCAGACCAACCCATATCTTGCTACCACCTCTCTAAATTTTGGGGCTACATGTATAAGTCTATATTCCATGACTGAAATTTTTAAAAAATATATCAATATTTTCTTGCTCCAATTGTTTTTGGAATCAGGTTTACAAGGAGGTCCAATGTTAAATTAAAGTTGCACTTTATATATCCGTTAGTAGTCATTGCTGAAACCAAGGGGTGGTTGTGGAGTTTAGGGTCCGAGTTCCTATAACAGATGAAACATCCACCTTTAACTTTTTACTTTTGTCAAGTTTCAACATTGCAAAAAACTAGTACAAATTATCGTACTCCTAAGTTAGAGTTTCTTCATCAGATTTACACTTTATAGTAGTTTAACAGTATTTTTAAAAAGATATTTAACCGTAAGCCGGCAAAGGGTAAATTTAAATTATGTTAACCATAATTTTGTTTTTAATCCAAATGTCGCAAGAGGGCCGGCACTGGCCCGATTCAGGCTTTGTATTGTGCTACCATTAAGGTTTGCCAGCACTGGACCAGCTCTGTGCCGTCAACACGGAACCGCATTGCCACAATCAAGCTACCAACGGCCCGTTTCTGGTTTTGGATCATTGAAACTGTACGGTACTGCCAGAACAAGCCCATAACAAGTCGGTACGTGCCCTGTACCGTCATGTTTGCCCGGTACTTGGCCTATGTGTTCTCGGGGAGGACTGCACCCAGTGCTTTCAAGGGCAAGGGAAAGGTGGCGCCACTGAAGAAGCTCCAGAAGAACACCAAGTTCAACAAGGCTGTCAAGCAAATCACATTTGCATATCAACAATTATATATAGTCACATGCAAGTTGTTTTTCAAATTCATTGTGCTTGATGTAGTGATCGTACATTATGAACTGTGTTACAGGCAGGTCGGCGTGACAGGGAGGGTGCCCCCAAAGAACCATATTTAGTTAGTTGACATTTTGTTTGCAATCGATTCACTCCTTCGATGAACGGGTACATAGACTGGTTCCCTGACTATACAATTGGTCTATAAAATGGCGTCTATAAATTGCTGTGTTTCATTTAAACAGGGGTCAGGGAGCCAGACTACAAGAAAATGATTGTTTCTTGGGGTTTCCAGCATCTATGAACACAAAACGTCATACAAGTCCGGGTAAGTTTGCTATAAAATACTTACCCCCAAATACAGCCTTTTCTGAAACTTACAGGAAAAGCTATGTTGTACATTCCCTTTATGAGCTTATGACATGCAGTGACATGTTGGCCACATTAGGCAGGTGGCCTCAATTCAGTGTTTAGCCAAAAACATGTGAAATAATTGTAATCTTTGAAAACATTTAATGTTGGGATGCCGTAGAGGACATCAAGCAAGTGTTTTATCGAGTAAAATAAAGTTTGTTGTTATTGTTTGATGTAAAAAGATCGGATATGAGCCTCCATCAGTGACGTCATAGACCATGCCCCAAATTCCACATTAAGCTACCACTTACAAAGGTCTATCATACTTTTCTGACATCTATACACATGTAGGGAAAAAAACAGTGGCGATTAGTCCCTTGAGATGGTACCAGTATGTGAAATTTCAGCCCCTGGCTCATGGACTAGGTATGTTGATTTTGATTTGTACATTGACGCTGTAGCTCAATCAGAGGAAGTGTTTCAAGTATTGTGATTATCATGTTTCACTCAAGCGCCCATGAATGAATGCAAATCTCCTGTGTGTAAAAGGGTTGATAATTTGCATACTACATTTCGCGACACTAAGGTCAGGTCATCCACACCAGATGCGAGATGGCAGATGGGGAACACCTTAGTAGCGCGACTTTCACTTTAATAGTGTGCCGGGCTCGTTTGAACGAGAGACAAATAAGTCATTCATAAGATAAATAAGTCGTTTAAAGGGAAAATACAACATTTGCAAACATCTAAAAATAAAACTACCAAATCATTTTGAAATACCTTGCTGGACTGTTAGTGAATGACAGTGTAAAGCATCCTGTAAAATCATGGCACCTGGTATATTGTCATTTTCAAGAAAAGTGGTATTTTTGTATCAATTTCCAACGCTGATCGGCCGATCAGCGTTGGAAACAACTGGCTTTTTTTCAAATACTGGCCCCAATTGACCATCGCACTTGTTTGCAATCGATTACAAACCTATGAACGGGTACGAGCCAGCTAGACTGGTTCCATGAACTTACAATTCCCCAATGTATGTAAACTGCTCTGTTTCTTCTTATATGGAGTCAGGGAACCAGACTACAGGAAAATGATTGTTTTTCTTGGTTTTTATAGCATTTTCGAACCCAAAACCTCAAAAAAGTCAGTGTAACTATATTTCCTATATATTTCCAACCCCCCAATTCCATCCATTTCTGAAAATTACAGCAAAAGCCAATGATGTATATTGATAATAAGTCGTTTAACCGAGATAATAAGCAGTTTAATTGAGACAATAAGTCGTTTAAACAAGATACTATGTCATTTTTGTTTGTTTGTTTGTTTGGCAGCAATACCGGTACGCTCTACAAAACGCAGAGCCAGGCCATGTTAATTGTTTTCTTTTTAATTTACACGCTATCGGTTTTGGCGCAAAAGTCGGCGGCGCAATGACATGAAACAATGCGCGTCAGTAGGCCTATCAGATTATTTTTTTCTGAGACCGGCATTTTTTAAAGGGATATTACGTTCTCGAATGCGCCAAGTTGGGCAACAAAATTGAAAAGAGCATTTAGAAAAAGGATATAGCCTAAATATGGACACCATAACCATCCTTTTGGTTTCAAAAATCGAGCTGTTGGGTGCATGTCTTGAATTCTGCCGCACTTGTCTTACCAGTGCATCGTATGTATTATGTGCTACACTCGCGCAACGAGTAACCGTACATTGAATGAACGCAGCTGAAATGTCCGCCGCGATGTGAACGACCTTCCCCCTTCTTTCTTTAGAACTGTAAGACATTAGAATAGTTTCCTTTTCAACCAGAAATAGGATAAGTATAAATCAATCCAAAACATGACATTTTCGGGAATTTTAGGCCGCAATTCCCATTGAAAACGTTAAAATCCGCGAATACACGAGAAAGTTGCATGCCTTATTTCAATAACTTTGACTCGCCAGGGGGACTATACTTTAATGGTTTTGATTGATTGGTTGATTGATTTGGTTGATTGCCATTTATATACTATGGAATACAATAGAAAGTGTCGTGGTTCTCGTGCTCAAAACATTAAAATACATTCAACTTTACTTTAAAACATTAAACTACCACATAATTTAAATTAATTCTCCCTTGAAATATCTCCCTAAAAAAGTAAAAGTCATAAACAAGACAAACGAATTATTACACTGTAACGTAACAAGTGCTTTGACTTGCCCGCCGCTGTATTTACTCGCATTTGGCTAGCGGGCTACCACTAAGCTCGAACCATTAATATGCCTACACGGCAATCTCCCCTCCCTCCCCCCTGGAGATTCGTCTGTCGACGGCGCTGTGCCCTCCGAATCCTGACTAGAAATCGCCGCCATTGGTGCGTTTCCGATGGGTTACCCCATTGTTTATGTCGGCTCTGCTTTTCAGTGAACTACACAATTGAAATGTCATGGATAATTTGACTTAATTTATTTATTTTTATCGATACCTAATTGACATTTTGGCAAGAAGACGAGACAGAAAGCTAGCAATTAATGGTTGTGCCTCTTTTGTGTATTCTCTCGGAGTAACTGCATCATAAATGAACGAGGCTTACTTTATGATCAAATTGATGAGAGGATAAAATATTACCAGAAAGGCCTTGGGAATGTTACGGTCTAAGAAACTATAGGTTTTCCCGGCTATTTAAAAACATTTTCATTCAATTTCATCAACTCTAACATTCAATTTCGTCGGAGAAAAATGTTTAAAGAAAACCACTTAATTAGTCATTTACCATTCAATTTCAAAGTTTGGTCACCCTCTTTAGTCACTGGGTCGAGAATATTCGATATTACAGGTCAAATTCATCTAAGCTGTTTCCGAATGGTAGCATTCAGAGATCGAATTTGTCTTATATAAATCAATTAGACGAATTTGATTCTGAATAACAAGCTAAGGTTTTGCGTAGACGAGACGAGATCGAATACTCCGGGACGAAAACGTGTAATCATTGTTTGAATTTGCTTGTATGAACTGAATTTGAAATTGTCTGACAAAAGACAAAATTAAACATTGGAGGTGCACTAAATGGATGTTGATGGACGAGTTTGAATATTAGAAACAGTCAGTGGCGTAGCCAGGAATTGTTCAGTGGGGGGGGGGGGGGGGGGTGGCCGCTGGGGGGCTAGAACATTTCATGGGGGGGGGGGGCGTCATGTAGGGGCGTCAATCGCTTCTCAAAAGTGGGGGGGGAGGAGACATTACTTGATCAGAACTGATGCGAGCGCGAAGCGTGAAGCCCTTACGGCGTGGGGTTCGGGGCCCGCTTATTAAGGGCCCCGAAAAAAATTGGATTCTCGATGCTCTGTGGTGTGATCTGAGGCAATTTCTTACCACTTTAACCAATAATTATCTTAGCACAAAAGATAATTATTTAAACATAATTTTCGATTTTTTCTCAGCTAAAGGCATAAGAAAATATTTTGAACATTGTTTTCGAGGTTGGAGTCATTGAATCAGCTACCAGAATTCTGAGCTTTAGGCGTGGGGTTCGGGGCCCGCTTAAGGGCCCCGAAAAAATTTGGATTCTAAATGCTCTGTGGTGCTATCTGAGGCAATTTCTGACCACTTTAACCAATATTTTCTAAGCAAAAGATACATTGTAGTACATAACCGGGCCCTGTAAATGAGACACGAGTTCAAAAATCTGTGGGGGGGGGGGGACATTTGATATTGTGTCCCTCACCCTTCAAAAAGTGGGATTGACGCCCATGGCGTCATGTAGATCAATGATAATTTTTTTAGAAACTCAAAATCTCAGTGAGGGGGGGGGGGCGACTGGGGGGGGGGGCTACGCCACTGGAAACAGTGAATTCGAATGAAAAACGTTTTGAAATAGCCGGGAAAGCCTGTAATAAAAATAGTGACAACCGTGGCCCTATTTTAAATTTGAATTTGAATCCACAGTGATATTTGTCTTATAATAGGTTTTCCCGGCCAATTTCACCAAGTTTTTATTCATTGTAACGCCTGGTTCTTTCGATTTAGATTGACATTGAAAGATCACGCAGATCGGCATTTCACAATCAAAAAGAATCATTCAATTTCACTATCATCCCTATCAAATATGCGTTCATATTAAAAGTATCAAGTTGTTCATTCAATATCGTCTAACCCAGCATTAAGGGGTTGATAAGGCATTCGTTTTCATAAATGGGCAAATATATTTCACATTTTGTCAAACATCTTTTAAGACTTCATACGTGTCCCTTTTCCTTAGCGTAACTCATGTTTAATGTCTTCATTCCGAAGAAGCCTTTCTTTCTTAATTAAAGGGTATGTGCAATGAATATTTCTCAGGAATTCTTTTCGGTTAACTCTTTGTGAAGTGTAAAAAAATACACATTGTCAACATTTGTTGGTTAATCTTATCGCAAAAGTGCACTTCTTTAAACATTAAAAGTTTCCATGCTTTTGCCGGACTACGTATGAGCGCACTGTTACTGTGATGTCATTCCAGGAAGCCTAACACACTGTTTAGTTTAGGGTTTTTTCTTTCAAATTATTCATCCAAAATCTGCTAATTGAAAACATTTGTGGTCGATGGCTTACTGCCAATTTGACCACATGTGCAAAAATCACGCAAAATTTAATGGCTGATTATGAAACTGATTAGAACAAATCGGAATTTCTCCGGGAAAACCTTTATTGAAAAGGAGGGCCTATTCTTGGCTGACTTCTTCATGCTTTAAAAGGCATTGATCCAATGATTGTCTTCATACTCATTAACAAACGACTGAATTACCCCCTCTATCAGTACCTCCCTGTCTCATATCGTTTGAATATTTTTTACTTCTTCCCAATATCATTGCTCCCTGTGACTTTCGGATCAGGAAGATGTACATGATTGTACACACTATGAGGTCTCAGTCAGTCTCTTGTAAGTCCGATGCTACTGGCCTTGCATTTAAGTGCACAATCATCATTAAAAATGCCACCGATTTAGAATCGTACGAGCTTTTCTTTCTTTTTCCCGGACCGTCATTCTCAGCGACTTTTCTTCAACCTGTTCTCAGCAGGAACTTGAGACGTGGAACGAAAATCAACCCTGATACAGAGGGCACGTCATTATGACGTCATCAGGAATCACATTACCAAATTATCATATTTAACAAAATAAACAATGAACAAAATACACAATCATATTAAAGGTTTTCCCGGCCAATTTCACCAAGGTTTCATTCAATTAAACTTCTGGCTCATTCGATTTAGATTGAAATTAAAAGATCACGCAGATTGGCATTCGACAATCAAAAAGAATCATTCAATTTCACTATCCGAGCATTCTATCGCCTTTTAGCTTCACTCGTCCCTGTCAAAGATGCATTCATATTAAAAGTATCGCGTTTTTCATTCAATTTCGTCTAAACCATTAGTAAGGGATCGATAGGGCATTCGTTTTCATTAATGGGCAAACATATGTTACATTTTGTCAAACATCTTTTAAGACGTCATACGTGTCCGTATGAAGTCTTAAAAGTCTAAATCATATTTGATGACTTCAAACCGTAGATTGACTTTCTTTCTTAATTAAAGGGTATGTGTAATGAATATTTCTCAGGAATTCTTTTACGCAACTCTGTGAAATGTAAGAAAACTACACATTTGGCAACACTTTTTGGGTTAATCTTATTTCAAATGTGCACTTCTTTAAGAATTTAAAAGTTTCCATGCTTTCCCGGCATAACGCTGTCACTACTGTGATGTCATTTCAGGAAGACACTGTTCAGTTTAGGTTTTTTTCTTTCAAATTATTCATCCCAAATTTGCTAATTGAAAACATTTGTGGGAAAGGGTTCGGTCATTGGCTTACTGCCATGTACTGACACATCATATAATCACCCAAAAAAAAGTTATGACAGTAAAATATCCAAAATTCTACCAACTTTGTTTTTGCTGAAATAACCGTGTCACATTAATCTTGCTTGGAATGCCATCACATGTTTTCTAATGAATATGAAACTTTGTATTAGCATAAAAACAAGAAGGGCACCAAAACACCCCTCAAAAAATATGATTAAGTGTGACGCAAAGATGTATTTTTAAGGTTTGCATTGAACACTTTGCATGGGCCCTGTGAATACAGTAAGTGTTCGGTCAGACATACGCAAGAAAACATTTAAGAAATAACGCAAGAGAAGTGTTCCCAACGGTACAACCATTGCCAAACATACGTGTCCCGATGTCTTGCACGTCAAGAAATCGTCAACGTAAAAAAGCCCCTTGATCAAACGTTAAAACAAGTATATAGAAAAGATCAACACTGAAAAAGAAATTATCTTAATCCCTTTCAATTTATTATAGGTTTTCCCGGCCAATTTCACCTAGTTTTCATTCAATTTAACGCCTGGCTCATTCGATTTAGATTGAAATTGAAAGATCATGCAGATCGGCACTCGACAATCAAAAAGAATCATTCAATTTCACTATCCGAGCATTTTATCGCCTTTTAGCTTCACTCGTCCCAATCAAAGATGCATTCATATTAAAAGTATCGAGTTGTTCATTCAATTTCGTCTAAACCATTAGTGAGGGGTTGATCGGGCATTCGTTTTCATAAATGGGCAAACATGTTTCACATTTTGTCAAACATCTTTTAAGACTCCATATCATGCGTGTCCGTATTCCTTAGCGTAAATCATATTTGATGACTTCAAACCGTACACTGACTTTCTTTCTTAAAGGGTATGTGCAATGAATTTTTCTCAGGAATTCTTTTTGCGCAACTCTGTGAAATGTAAGAAGACTACACATTTGACAACACTTTTTTGGATTTAATCTTATTGCAAATGTACACTTCTTTAAACATTTAAAAGTTTCCATGTTTTTCCGGACTAACGCTGTTACTGTGATGTCATTTGAGAAAGACACTGTTCAGTTTAGGGTTTTTTCTTTCAAATTATTCATCCAAAATTTGCTAATTAAAAACATTTGTGGGAAAGGGATGGTCATTGGCTTACTGCCATGTACTGACACATCATATAATCACCAAATAAAATAAATTTATGACGGCAAAATATCCAAAATTCTAGCAACTTTTTTTGCTGAAATAAGCCGTGTAACATTAATCATGCTCGGAATGCCATCACAGGTTTTCTAATGAATATGAAACTTTGCATTAGCATAAAAACGGAGAGGGCACCAAAAACACCCCTCAAAAAAGAAAATAAAACTTGCAAATAAGGTTAAATGTGACACAAAGATGTTTTGCATTTGCATGGGCCCTATGAATATGGTAAGTGTTCGGTCAGACATACGCAAGAAAACATTTAAGAAATAACGCAAGAGAAGTGTTCCCGACGGTACAACCATTTCCAAACATATTACGTGTCCCGATGTCTTGCACGTCAAGAAATCGTCAACGTAAGAAAGCCCCTTGATCAAACGTTCAAGTAGAAAAGATCAAATAAGAAATTATCTTAGTCCTTTGTTGTTTCCCTCACATCAGTTGATTTGTAACATTGTAAATTTTACAGTCATCAAGATTTTTTTTTGGGGGGGGGGGGAATAAACCTCGGAGCAAAATAGGAAAAAAATATCGATTAAAAAATCTTACGAATTTAAATGACCAAACGATGAAAGCGATTGCCCATAAACGAATAAGAAATGAAAAGCATGGTTATACGTTATAAGTACACATATGTTCACTAATTTGAATGCGTCAACCGTCAAAAGGTTGCAAAGACTTAATTTAAGACTGCTACAAGTTTATGTCTTGAATGCACCAAAAAGAAATAGGCTGCCCGAAAACGAAAACGAACATTCACAGTGAAATCTTGGCTGCCTAAAAATGAAATTGAATGAAACCCGAATGAAAAAGAAACCCTAATTGGACCACATGTGCAAAACTCACGCGAAATTGAATGGCTGATAATAAAACTGATTAGAAAAATTCGGAAATTCGCTGGGAAAACCTATATTTCGTTGCATCTTGTTTCCTTCATATTAGTTGATTTGTAACATTGTAAATTTTACAGTCGCCCAGATTTTGGGGGGGAAATGAACCTCGGAGAAAAATAGGAAAAAATATCGATTAAAAAATCTTACTAATTTAAATGACAAAACGATGAAAGTGATTGCCCATAAACGAATAAGAAACGAAAAGCATTATACGTTATAAGCGCACAGATGTTCGCTCATTTGAATGCGTCAACCGTCAAAAGGTTGCAAAGACTTAAATTTAGACTGCTACAAGTTAAGTCTTGAATGCACCAAAACGAAATGGGCCCGAAAACGAAAACGAACATTCACAGCAAAATCTTGGCTGCCTAAAAATGAAATTGAATGAACCCCAAGTGAAAAAGAAACCCCAATTGGACCACATGTGCCAAACTCACGCGAAACTGAATGGCTGATAATGAAACTGATTAGAAAAATTCGGGAAAACCTATAATATATGTTTCATTCAATTTAACACCTATGGTTAATTCATTTTAGATTAAAATGAAAAGATCACGCATAACGCCATTCGACCATCAAAAAGAATAATTTAATTTCATTATTCTAGCATTCTGAAAGTATCGTCTTGTTCTTTGAATTTCGTCTGAACCAACAGTAAGGGTTGATCGGACATTTATTTCATTAATGAGCAAACATAATATTTAACATTTTGTCAAGCATATCTTAACTTCCTGCATGTCTGTATTCCTATAAAATTCTTAGTTATCTCAGCGTAAATCATATTATAGTTTTTTTTGCTAAAATGATACTTTTTGAATCTGAGTGAAAGACATTATCAGTGCAAAGATATGCATCTTTCAGACATTTCATAAACTGATTATTTTAATATTTGGTCAAGTGCAACTTGGAATAAATTATTACGTTAGTACTAACGGGGGTGATAATTGGGATGAAAATCAAAATGTTGGAATACGATTGTGCCCACTTCAGAGGTGATGCATTGGGTCATTTGAGGGATATTTTGTATAATAGGAAGTGGGTATCTAGCATGAAAAAAAAACCACCCCATTCAAAAAACTAAATTTGCACTGCACGCACAGTGGACAGTGAGTATTATTGCGAAATGAATGCTTTTCCCCCCCATTTTAATAGCTTTGACATAGTTTATATTGAACACACCACTGAAGTCAGTAAGACTTTCATAGATGAGCACATAACTAACAAATTAATATAATTATTAAGAACATTATTAAACCACTAATATCACTAAATATCACAGACAGTCGGGGCATACATTTATATATACATGTAAATGATTGTATAAAACATA